GGTGGAGGGTCTTATCTAACTGGGCAATGGAACAACCATTCAAAAAAATCTTGTCATATCCTGTACACAGACATAATGGTATTTTACACAATTCTCTTATAAGCAAGTTTTCTGAACAAAGATTTTCTGGTACAATTAAATATTTCCATAGAAATGTAATACTTAAGTGTTCATTTCAACATCAGTTTTATCAAGTATGTTACATTTAAGAAAAAAGGAATTTTTACATCAACTACACTTAACACTTCTCTGTCTTCCTATCCATTCACTTCTAGCCCACACAGCAGACAGAGAAGCCCACAAACCCGGATGTCCTTACTTTATCAGTTCAGATCCATTAGTGACGTGATCTGTCATAATTGATCTGGTTCACTCCTTCCCTTTGAAGCATCCGCCCTGCTCTCCAGAGTGCCTAATTGAGAGAGGAGCTCTGTGTTTGGGAAGCTACAGAGTCAGCCCAGTTCAAGTTCCTCAGGGCACCAATAATGACTGCAGACCCTCTTGGTTCCTCTTGCTACACTTAAAATGGAATAATGCCATTATGTCTACATTATTTGCCTGAAGCAACATTTAGCTGCGTCCACATCCACAGAGAACATCAAATAGCATTCATATTTAATTAAGGGTCGTACACATGAACACGCTCTGAAGGCTGCCAAAATTATGAATAGAATGATTACGGACCTACTACAAATAATGTTCATGTAATTCTTCACTGTGTTCACAGAATGACATTTTTTAAGACAACACTAACTAAATGTCACATGAGGAAATCTATTTGGAGCATTCACAATTCATTAATAATGCACTGGCCTTCGATTAGATTTGGTCTCCAGAAAACACAATTGCTATCTGGCACTTCCTGCTCAGCAGCTGGGGGAGGATGAGGAGGACTGTTTTTACAACTGTCCCTTTAATTTCTCTCACCTGTTGCTTTCTATTGCCCTGCAATTACTGCTTTAATAAAACCAGGTTTATTATTTTAACACCCAAGACCAGAAAAGCCTTAGAACGTACAAGTCCACCAAACTGTTTGAACATCCATCTGGGTCAAAACGTTATTTTAAAGTAACCTAATGTGAGAACACAGAACAGTCTGCAGGCACGCTCAGTTTTCTTTGTGTTTATACTACTGAGAAACGAGGCAACATTTTACTTCTCCTTAAACCATAGAATGCCTTCTCAAGTTCACAATAGCATGTAGCCCAGTGCTTAAGTGACCAATGACACCCCACTTAACATGCTCAGATGATCAGCAGAAACAGGAACCTATGGGCCCCTCATATCTCAAGCTGCTGTATTGCTTGGTCCTCAGCTCAGTTTATCTGCCACCTCTTGAGCTCTTGACCTTCGCCTGGCTGGTGACAACACCCTTCAGTGCTCCACCACAGGGAGAGGATCTGTGCCGGCATCTGCTCTGTAACTTTGCAATGCAAGAGTGAAATGGAAATCAATACTAGTGGGTAGCAGGACACATCTCCTCCCCCTACAGCCCCATCTGTTCCAGGAAGCCCCCTGCCAGTCAGCTAAACTAACACCTCTCTAATCAGCATTGCCGCCCTCAGACAAGAGGCCACTTTGGCAAATCAGCTGAAAGCCTGCTCACTTTGCCTTAACATACCTCCAGAAGTGTCTGACGTGTGAACTCTCGCTTCCTCGGTGGTTTGTTCGCTGGTCAACCACAGTGATCCTTGGTGTAAACAATAGGGCTTAGAGTAATGACTGAGGTATCTACGCCACAAGTCATAGGCCGTTTCATAGGCTGTTGAACTTGGAAGAATGAGGAGATACACGTTTCCCAAGCGATTTTATTTTACAAGATGCATTAAAGTGTAAAAACATCTGGCTAAAGAAGAGGAGACAAAGATGCACAAAATAAATAACCTCCAATAATTTCTTCCACCCATTACTCCAGATGTAATGCGATCACATGAAGCTGTGTTTGTGTGAACATGGAGAGCCTCTGCTGTATTGCATTTCACATTTGCAATGTGACTTGCTGATTCTTTGTTCGCTGACTTCCTAGTATGTCTCCAAGTTGAATAATTCATCGACTTGGCTGTGTTGTGTCTATATGTCACTGTGTGTCGGGTAGAACATGACATTCCACTCTCCAGCACCCACAGACACAGGTCCATGCTTACAAGCGCTAAAAAGAAGACATCACAAGGGTCCCTGATGCTGTGTTTAAGCAAGAGGGACAGGTAGAAGGACTAGAAGCATAACCTTATAGCTGATGGGGGGGAAAAAAAACAGCTTTCTCCAAGCTACATCATTTAAGCCTCAGATAAACAGAGAGAGGCACAGCAGAGATCAAGCACTTTAAATGACAGGAACCAGTGGTGATAGTATCGTTTTCTCCAGATGGCAGCCTATCTCCTCTCCCTTGCGCAAAAGGACCTTTGGAGCAATTCAAGCCTCCCTGGGGAGCCGCAGAGCTTCGGCTAAAAGAGTTGCAGTCGGTCAGCCTTTGGTTACTCATCAAGAGCACATGAAAGGACATGGCAAGATCTTTCTCCTCTATTCAAGGCTGCTGTTACCGTCAGCCATGATGAGCGGTCGCTGTCTCAATCAACAACAATTCAGACCGGATGATTCATAACGACAGGGGAAAAAAATGAGCCCTTTGAGCTTTTACTCTCTCCAGTGATTAAAGATGAAACACTACCTTTGAGACTAAACTCATTTTCCTGCTTTTCAAGCAACGGCAGCTGTTAGTAAACACTGGCTGTAATGACTTCAGAAGTGGGTGACTCAGACCTCTGACAATAACGGCAAGCGTATATTTGACCTCATTTTGGATTAAATAACAAGGGTGCTTAAAGTGATTCAGCACAGTTACATCACAAAGCTCTGTAGCATCTGAGGAAGACAACTTGTTTTTGAGATTGTTTCTTACTTCACTTATTTATTAGTAGCTTCTTGTTTCCTTTGTTTGTGTCAGCTAAGCACACACAGAAAATCAATTCACAACTCTTGAAGAACAAGAGCATCACAAACATTTTCATCTTTACACTCCAGCAAAAATACAGGCTCAACTTAACTGTGGAAGTACCCAAAAGAACATGAAGGATATAAAGCAACGCACCATTTTTTCTCTTGGTGTCATGTTCAGCAGAGGCTGACTCTCCACAGAGTCTCTGCTTACTACAGCTGTCCATAAGAGAGGGGGAGACAGAGAGAGAGAGAGAGAGATTGCTGCAGCTCTCAGTGTTTGGGAGGCTGCCAGTGGACCTACTGACCTCCGGGAAAGGAACAGGATGAGCCTCAGTGACATGAGCACAATGTCAGAGTGACAATAAGCATGAGGAGCTCGGTGCCAGGCCTCATTCTGCCACCACCAGGAGCAACTCCAGGTCATTCTCACTGAAGGGCACCCGCACGGTTAAATATAGATGTTTCTGGGCTACGTTGCCAAGGAGGATCCTCTCTTTGGTCAGCACACTGAAGGACATGACAATGGTCATGCACGTCTGACCTTCAACTTACCCAGTAGGTTCACCTGTGAGCTCAAAAGACCTAAATCTGACATTGCATGCAACATAAAAACTAAAAACCTACAGAATCACTATATGAGACTCGGGAGCTGACAGAGCAGTTTGAAATGATCTCCTGAACCAAACAATCCATATATCTAATTTATGGTCATGGTCCATGTGGGAACTGAAACTCTCTACACTGCTTGGACCATTAAGTTCGACACATTGCTATCCTGCACGCTCAGTTCGGTGTTCACGCTTCTCTAATCAAAACCAATTCAGCCATGCTGCTGTAGCAATCACTTCTGTCTGCAACGCCAGCTGCCAAAGGCTCCCTGAGGTGCATCTCAGCCAGTGAATGATGATGTCTGCACTCACTACGCTATGAGACAAACGACGTGTCCACACCAGCACGACTCGGTCCCTTCAGACACACATTATCCTTCCCTTCGACCCCTGGTCACCAACAATGACCTCTGTTTCCACATGACACCCACTGCAGACCTTGGCCTCAATTGGACGCTGAGGCCTTAATTGAAAAGAGGGCTTTGTGCGACTGCTGCGAACGATCCATGCTGGCTACGATAAATCATGGTGACAGTGCAACCGGCTAGGCTGGAACCCTTTGCTACTTGGGAGAGCTGAGTGGGCACTCAGGGGAGCGGTTATTGGCATGGAACAGCTTTGCAGAAGAGAGTTCATTTTAGGGCCACCTAAAGGTCAAGCTCAGCTTCTCCTTCATTTTAAAGAGCTGTAAAGCACCCCTGTATTAATGAGAAGGCTTAATGATGAAGACTTCCCAAATATTCAGAGCTCTGCTTGGGTGACAGCCAACAATCTAGGCCTGAAGCGCCGGTGACATCACTCGTTGCTAGAAGGAAGCAGGACGCTGTTGTGACCGCTGCCGCAGGCCTCCGCCTTGTAAATCCCCTATAAATCTCAGAGCAGTAACTTAGATTTATCTTATGATCGCCTAACCTCCTAGGAAACTTAGGAGACGGACACTGGAGGGCTGAGGGTGATAGCCACAAACCAGCTACTCGGGTTTACTGACTCAAGCCTATAAACAGCTTTCCCTGCACAACATCATGAGGAAGGGTGTCTACAGCTCAGTTTCTCCTATTTCGGATTTGTGAGCCCTCTCTACCTGGATGTGTCTCAGAATATATGTGTTTATGTATGAAAAGAACACTGTTTTGTCAGTGTAACAGTGTTACACTTTTCATCATCAAAATAAAGTCAAATAAATAAACATTTGGGCATTCACTTACCTCACAGGGAGACGACTAAACAGTATGTAACGACTATATGGTGAAATAAAGGCGAATTGGTAACTGTTACAGATGCTATTAGACAAAGCAAAGCAACAGTCCACTGCTGAGAAGGAAGGCTACATGCTAACTTTGTCAAACATTTAAAATTTTAACAGGTTAAAAAGAGCTTTTTTCTGATAAATGTCGGGCGTGTCACACAACTGTAGTCAGTCTTTCTGTTTCTAAAGATACAACTACATTCACACACCTGTGGCAGGCAGGAGGAGCTCGGAGGAGGAGATAAACATGCTCAGCTAAAAGCCTGGATGTGGTTTCCTCTTCGTATTAGTCGCTCTGACGAAAAAAAAACTCCCGTTTCGTCCAGCTGTTTCCAAAAACGCCCCACTTTGTCCACTTTCTGGCGCGTAAAATGTTATTTCTTCATCCAAGAGCATTCAGCGTTAGCCGCTCTGCTAAATCTCGTCCTCGCGCTGCTCCATGTGCTCAAGCGCCGCACGCGCATCGCGTCCTCGCTCTGACGTCACAAGACGGCGGCTCGGCACCTTCAGCAGCAAGAGGAGAGCGAAGGAAGCACTTCGCCTGATTCAGACTGATTTATGTCGACTTTATACTCGCCAAGAGCGCTAAACTGGGTCTGTAAACGCTTGATTCATTCCAATAAACCCGCTGTTCTGCTTTTTGAATGATACAGTGGTGTCCAGCATCCTCTACAGCTCTGTTTATGATTTATGGATCAGCTCTTTACTGGGATGTATCGGCTCAGTGGCGTCATAAACATAAATGTTTGACGCTCAGATCTGATTCAGTTGTATTGTAATTGGTACTTGCTTGAGAATAATATCAAAAAGGCCACCATAAACGACGGCGTAACCAGAGGCGTACTTGATTCTGAGGCAAAGACACATAAGTGACCCCCAGAAAGCACATCTTTAAACACGGCTGTCTGTAGCACAAAAACTTAGATCTAGCTATTATATATAATATTTCTCATTTTGGAATTGTTGTAAGAATATTATAATATGATAAGAATTTATGAAAATTTTTCTTGGGTAAAACAGGGTGTGAAAAACACTAAAACCCCTAAATCTTATCAGAAAATAGATGTTCTTCTTAAATCTGTGTGTGCCATAATTATTAGCACCCCCTCATCGAATGCTTTGTGCAGCCTACCTTTGCAAACAGCTCTGAGTCTTCTCCTACAATGCCTAATGAGAAAATTCCGGTAATGTTTGTCAAACTGTAGGTGCTTGAGTTTGTTGGTCCTTGACTTTCTTCTGGCAACCCCACCCTCACCCCCCCCGCCCAAACAACTTATGGTTATATAGGTGGTGTTTGTTGTTTGGAATATGCACTAACTCCAAGACCTAACTAATTTCTGCAGTTCCTCATCTGTGATCCTTGGAGATTCTTTGTCCACTCAAATCATTCTCCTCACTGTGCACAGGGTCAATATAGATATATATCCTCTTCCCAGCAGGACCCCCATGGACCCTCATAGGGCAGGTACTATTCAGGTGGTGGATCATTCTCAGCACTGCAGTAACACTGATGTGGTGGTGCGTTAGTGTGTGTTGTGCTGGTATAAGTGGATCAGACACAGCAGTGCTGCTGGAGTTTTTAAAAACTGTGTGCACTCACTGTCCACTCTATTAGACACTCCTACCTTGTCAGTCCAGTTTGTGTTGGTCATCCTCTAGTCCTTCATCAGTGGTCACAGGATGCTGCCCACAGGACACTGTTGTCTGAATATTTTTGGATGGTGGACTATTTTCAGTCCAGCAGTGACACTGCTGTGTTTAAAAACTCCAGCAGCACTGCTGTGTCTGATCCACTCATACCAGCACAACACACAGTAACATACCACCACCACATCGGTGCTACTGCAGAGCTGAGAATGATCCACCACCCAAATAAAATAGTACCTGCTCTGTGAGCGTCCATGGGGGTCCTGACCACTGAAGAACAGGGTAAAAGGGGGCTAACAAAGTATGCAGAGAAACAGATGGACTACAGTCTGTAATTGTAGAACTACAAAGTGCACCTGTATAGTAAGTGGAGCTGATAAAATGGACAATGAGCATAGAAACAAGGAGGTGGTCACAATGTTAGGCCTGATCGGTGTAGACATACATATTGTATTATGTATTGTATTATGAAACATTTCTTTTTGTTTTCCTGTTCTTCTAATTAATTGGCAGGTATCAGTGGACATAAAACAGGGCAGCTTTAAGTATTGACTAACTTTTAACACCTTCTAATAAAGCCATCACAACAACAAATCATCGTAAACCTTTCGGATATACAGTGAGACAAATGACAAGAAAAGCATCGATTAGAGTAGTGCTGAATGGATCAGAGCTATTAAAGGGTTCACTTAAGGACACCAGAACTGGCAATGCTCAAATAATGCTAGTATGTAATACACACATTGATTTTTGGACAAGAGCAGACAGTTAAAGGTACATGCTGTGATTTCAGAGTGTCAGCATTCAATATATGCAGAACAGCACATTCTTTCAACAGGGAAATCTGCATAATTCAATGGCTGAGATGTACACAGTCATTTAGAGTTTGTGATCTAAAATGGTTCACTGTAGAGAAAATTAGAGACTCAGACTTCTTTATAGTGGTGGTGAAAGGAACCAGGGGTCAAAATGTCTACAAGACAAATTCAGCCTTTTTATTTACTATCCATAATCAGCAGTGAGCCTACATGGCTTTTTTGGGGACTATTTTGCCTGATAACTCCCTGCATATACTCCTCTACCATTCACCATCCATTTTTTGGATTTTAAGAATGCTTTTGTAGGCCAAATTCTTATCAGGCAGCGTATTGATAACCACTTCATGTAATAACTGTCTGCGAGGGTGCTTTTAGAAGCACACATTCTTCAGAAGTCTAGTTCCTATCAAAACAATCTAAATGATTTTTTTTGCATTTTAACCATTTTAATTGTGCATATTTTTTTAATTGGTGGAATTCTTCTTAAAGCAGATATACCTGTACCGAGCACTGTGCTGCAGAATTGTATGCATTACTTTTACCTGAAATTGAGCTGCATTTAATATTTGGGCTCCTGAAATATTTCTTTTATGTTTCATGTCCTCAGTGCAGATGCATGGATTGGGCAAGTAATGCAAATCTAATGCAAATCCCATCAGTCATGTGTTGTGCATTGGCATCCAAAATTTTACCATGCAGTCGAGTACTGCCAGTCTTACTGCTTGTGTGCACCAGATGTGAAGTGCGAAGGAATTAAATCCTGCCTCAACTCATCTCTGTGGATGTTTGATTTGCTTCAGCAGCAAACATACCTCCAGCTTATATTAGAAATACCTCCTCATTTCCCAAATGCCATTGCCGTTACTGTGGCACCCCCCACCTGGAAATCAAGGCTAATGCACTACATGCCTGTGATAAGGCCTTGTAGTCATCCTTGAAATGCCCACTCAATAAGCAGAATGTAACAAAATGTATAAAGCTTTGTTCGGCAGAGCTGGTAGCCAGGAAGGACTAAATAGAAGAGAGTTGATGCACATAATATAGTTTGAGGAACTTACAGTGTGACTTCCAGAGGTGTGAGGCTGAGTATGTTTGTTACACACACACACACACACACACACACACTTCACTCGTACACTCTGTGACTCACCATAACATTTCCTCTGCCATAAAGAGCCTTAACCTCAAAAACAGTTATGTTGAAGACTACAAACAGATTCTTTCACATCCACCAAAACTTGGGCTGTTGAAATTACTGGGCTTCTGGAATACATGCCAAAATAGAGCTAATTCGAGGGATTTAATCCAATCCAGAAATGCTTATCTGAGTGGATCACAAAGCTACACCTATCAGCAGAACCCAACAAAAAAAGGTTTGGAGATGGAATGTCTGAATTGTGGGCAGCACTGACATTCCTATGAGCAACTCAGGGCAGGGTCTTCAAAGGGTGGTGGTGAGCATTCCCTATTAAATGGTTTTACTTCAGGAAGTGCCGTAAGAAGAATGTCTTATGGTAAAAAAATAAGAGCGATAAAAAGGCTACATTTTTTGGTGAATAGATTTTTTTTTTACCTAAAACAACTCCTGTGGTTTTTCTTAGGGTTGGTAATCTGTTGAGTCTGAATTAAGATTCTTATTGGGTAAAACCACAGCTGAAAGGCATTTATCATAAATGAGAATTGTGGTATTGTAAAAGGTGTGTATGTACATTTCACCTGACATCAAAATTGTCCTTTAACTTTTTAGGTCATGTGCCTGGTAATAACTGCAATTCATCATACCACACCATTTAAAAAGCAAAATCCGTGTTTTTCCTTCATTTTGATGGAAGTGTAATGACTTTCGCTTGCCTTTGAAACATCTGATCTGTCACCAGGGAAAAAAAAAAATACATACATACATACATACATATATATATATATACATACATATATACATACATATATATATATATACACATACATATATACATACATATATATATACATACATATATATATATATATACACACACCACTAAGTGTTACACCTCCCCTTTCTCCTACCCCACCTCTCAAGAGAAAACACTCATTTCACTTGGAATTGTTTTCCATCCGTACTGTGACACGTTTTATGATTCACGTTGAATTTAATATACCCAACATTTTATAACAAAGAGTATGCATTTTGAAACCAACACAGCATGGCTCTAACAAAACCCCTTGCCTACTAATACTCTACAATCAGTTCCATAAACCAGGACAAACATTACTGATGAGGGAGGGTATTTCTAAAGCAGGATTACTCAGTTTAACCAGACAGCTAAAGCCTAAAGTGAAGCCTGTTCAACAGGAAAAGAGCTGAGGGACATTCCTCATCTTTGGGCTTCAGTTACATTGCTAACTCATTTAAATTGTGAAATACTCCACTGATCTGTAGGTCATCATATGTAAATGAACTCTGCATGACAGACAGCTATGACTAGGCCAATATTAAGTTAAGTAAGCTTTGATTCAGCTTTCAAGATAGTCAAGACCTACATACTAATGATCTATCCCAATTAAACCAGCTGACTGTCAGCACTGGATCCTGAAGCCCTTTTCCAAGTGTCATCACAGCACCTGCACAACCTAGCAAAGTCAGTCAAAGCAAAACTACACACTGGGTGTATAGCACATGTGCATAAGGTCGGACATGTACTGAGTATCTGCCTTAAGTGGCGGTGGTCTCTGTGGTCACAGGGGGTAACCCCATAGTGTATGACCCAACACATGGGACAGTCACAGCCAAATAAGCAGCGAATAGAATAAAGACTAAGCAAGCCAAAATGTAGTCAAACACAATTTATAAAGAAATGCCTTTATGATTCAAATCATACAGTATCTTCAATACATCTGAGCACATATGTACAAAATTTACAAAAACAAAACATTAAGTTAAGATCAGCAGCAAGCAGACTGCTGACCGTGGCGTTATTAAAAATAAAATTAAATACAAATAAATCTATAGCCTCAACTGCCCCAAAC